AGAAGTACATCATATTTGGTAAGGTAGAGGGTCAGATAAAAAAAGGAAGACCCCCAACGAGATGGAGTAGCCAAGTGGCCGCATCAATGGACTCAAGTGTGGCAACAGTGGTGAGGAAGGCCCAATATTGGGCAATGTTTCATTCTGCTGTGCACAAATTCACTATGGGTTGGTACCGACTTGATGGCACCTAACAAGAACAACAACAAATATAATTAGAAGTCCTGGTGTGGTGCTGTTGGTTAATGTGCTGGACTAAAAGGTCAGTGTGAACCACAAGGTGGTGATTCATGCTCACCAGCCACTCCTCAGAAACTGTATACAGGGTTGCTATGAGTCAGAACCAACTCAATAACACTTAACAACAAAAACAACCAGATATAATTATGAAGGAAGAACAGAAAGAGGCAAAATGCAGTTGTGGTAAACTATTAATGTATTCAATTCTGATTTCAATAGTAATATGTCAACTGATTGTGTCTAAAAATGAAATTCAAGATATTTTATTAGTATAGTCTTGATAATTATAGAAGGCTAGAGTGAACCAACTATTCCAATACATATAAAAACACACAATTCTCAAAAACATAATGTTGAGAAAAAAAAAAAAAAGGATAATTCAAGAAGAGGTAAAGTTAGCCAACGGTGATAGATATCAGAACAATAATTTCCTTTGGAATGGGAGGAGTCATGACTCATAGGGGTTTTAAGAAGTGTTGATGATATTCTACTTCTTCTGCTGTGTGATATTTATATCTTTGTACTGATTTTACATTAATTCACCTACATACTTCTTTCCTGCATACTTTTCTCTATATATGATATATTTCAACAAAACTTTAAATAAAAAAATAAATGAGCATGAGTTTAATACCAAAAAGAGAAGTTAAAAGAACTTAGAAAATACTATCCAGGGGCATTCAGGAGAGTGATCTATCTTTTCTGATTTTATAGTATTTGTGTTTATAATTGTATTTATAATCATGAAATACATGATGAAAATGATAATTTTATATATATATTTTATGAGTGCAGTACTGTATGGTGCTGTATGTAAGCACTACACTGCAAACCACAAGGTCATCAGCTCAAACTCTCCTTTTGCTCCTCAGACTTCCTACAGGGTCAGTGTGAGTCAGTCCCGACTCAGCGCACTTGACACACATACATACAGTTATATGTGTCAACATCTACGTTTTCAAAAAAAAATAAACTGGTCAAAATAGCTCTAGAATTATATGTACAATGTGAATAGAAAAAAAAACAGCAATATATATTGTGGTCCTGTGGGATAAACACTGGATGCTAACCACAAGATCAGACATTCAACCACACCAGTCACTCCGAGGAAAACCTATATAGAGTTGTCATGGACTAGAAGCAACTTAAAGACATTTAACAACAACATAGTTGAAATAGCAGTATAAAGTATGCATGTATGGAAAATACAAATTTATGATTTTTGTATTTTCTCAAACTTCAGAAAGACACACAGATATTGTTGAATTTTTCTGTAATATTTAATTTCCTTAGAAATTCTGAAGCAAATGTTACAATCTTTTATGACTAGTTAGTAAATAATCTATTATATTTACCATATTTGTACTCTTTTTGTTCATATTATGTTTCATGCTTACAATTTATCATTAAATTAATTTTCTGAGATTCAAATAACTTTTTTCCAACAAAGTAATATTACACATATAGAGAAAAATAATCATCTTTGTATACTACTCAATAATTTGAAATAATATTTACCAACCATTAAATAAAGTTTAAAGAATTAAAGATATAAAGAAATATAGAAATTACATACCAGAGCAATACCTGCATCATAACTTTTGTTGCATATTGTTCCAGGATATATTGCTCCTGCATATTTAGGATTTTCCCTGTAACTATATAATTGTAGAAAATTTTAATAAATTTTTCTGTGTAATTATATTAATAACAAAGGAATTACTATAACATTTGAATAATTATTTTGCAAACATACAAAGGTCCAATCTTAATGTTAATAAAATTATAGAAAATATTCACACCATGGAAAATAATTCA